CCTTTTATTAATTTCTCGGGAATTAGCAAGTCGGAGAGGTTGCAGCTATAGATATTTTTAAGATTAGAATTAGAGACTGTTGATCTAATGCTAAATAATGAGATTTTGTCTTTTAATATTTTAAATACAATTTTCTTGTTCGTAGTTGCAGGATGGGAATTCATTTTAGTAAAGTAGAATATGTTAAGAGAAAAATTGAAGCTTGAATTATGGTTTACTGGAATTAGGATGTTATATCAAGTTGATTGGTTTTTAAGACACCTTGCACATTAAAAAATTGTTCTACTTAGCTATTAGAAATGAATTGGTATTATTTCTAAATAAAATTGACTAGAAACGTAGGAACGGCCTCAAAAATGGACAATGTATTGACTATAGATATGCTTTTCTTAAGTAGGTCGTTGGAGAACAAGATTCTTCAGGAGTCAGTTTATGATATAGTTGAATGATAATTTTGTGTAATAAATTATTAGAAATTCTGGCTTTACAAAGTGACATTAACTGAGAAACATTTGAACAGTGTTTCCGAGCCTCACTCAGTGGCTAAGCTTGGTAGATAAAGGGACGAAAAGGAAGCAGGGCACCTCATTTTCTTCAGTATCCACACAGCATAGTCAGCTCGCTCAGATACTGTCAGTGCCTCTTTTACCTAATGACCTTGGTAGCAACCGATTCTGTATAAAGAAATGTGATCTGAGTGTGCATTCCTGATAAAAACATTTTCTTTTTCCCTAGATCCTTGTTTAAAACTCTTCTGTCTTGACAATACAAGCCACATTTTGTTTATTTTGTGTATTAGTGTTTTATAGCTGCATTAACAGTTTTGTTAGGGGGAAAAGTTTACAGGACTTTATAATAGAATGCTGTAGATTTGTTCTGCTTGATTAATTCACTGTTTGCTCACTAGCAGGATTTGAAGAAAATGCTTTGAATGTTTTTGGTTGGTGGGTTAGTTCTCCTGCCAGAGTGAGCTCACTGTGATAGACTACTCTTTGGAGCAGCCACCCACTGACTTGATGTGCTGTTTTAAAGTGCTTATTTTATGGCATAATTTTTAATACAGCCAGGAGGATTAGTAGATCTATCCAGATAAGAAATAGCTCTAGTGATATCCATTGGCAGTTAAGGTTTAATTTTACTGTCTTCCCCCCAAAAAAGACCCAAGATAAAAAAACCACCTAGCTCTGTATTAATCTATTCCTAAAAGGTTGAAAGAAGATGCTAGTTTTTACTTTTTTTCTCTCCTGTGAACCTTGAAGTTTAGCAAATGTCTCATGGCAGAATAACTGCATACAGGATATCAGTTTTGCAAAGTGATATATTTCAGACTGTATACAAAATTTGATGGTGGGAAAAACAAGCTTTATAAATGGAACATTTAAGAGACTCTTTTTTACTATTTGCTTTTCAGTTTAGTGCTGCCTTTAGGGTGCACCATTTCAGTTTGACAGCTACGATAAATGACAGGGAAATTGAAGAAGATAATTCAACATTTCGAGATGCTTCTGCTAAAATGAATGTATACCTATCTGGGGTTTGCATTTAAAGTTAATAGTAATACAGGATTTTAAAGCTGAGTACGCAGGAAACTCATGGTGATGGGATTTGAATGAGATGATTAGGAGAAATAGAGAAGAATGCCTTCATTTCCTTGTTATGTGGGTATTATCTATTGAGAGGCTATGTTAAAAAATGCTACTGTAAAAAGAATCGAGGCTTGTTATTCAAAGTTTGCTGGAGTGTACAATTCATCTTGGGCCTTGTCCAAAAAGGTTGGGTTATTAAAATAACAAAAAAAATATTATAATCAGGAATCACTGGTTTAGTGTATAGCCATGAATGGCATGTAGACCATGTTATGATGTATCTGGCTGGTATCATTTCATCTGGTGACCCTTGACCTCTCTAATAACGTGGCACTTATTTAAACAGAAATCATTTGCTTCCCTTCTTTGGATACTCTTTATTATTTTTCCATTAAGAAAGAATTATTTAAAAGTATGTATGGTAGTTGCTAATGTTTGTGGGTTTTGACGTTTATAAGTTTTAACATTTGTGATTTTGATTATTTGTGAGTGACTTTAGAGGCCCATGGAGTATATAGTATTTTGTAATTTTGCTAAGGCACAATCTTAGTTCTTGCTGAATTCCATGTAGGAAGGCATTACTTAGTTAATGAGTCAGTCTACTTAACTTTTCACATCTGCGTTTTTTTCCCCCACCTGCGTGCAGTCTCATGCATTTATTCACTCATTCATTCAACAAGTATTTATTGAATTCCTAATGTGTGCCAGGTTCCGTTACAAGCATGAGAGATTCAGCAGTTATCTAAACAGTATGTAGTGGTTTGGGAGATGTCAAATTTTGTATAATGTGAAAAATAGCTGTTCGATGAGAGAAAACTATTGAAAGAATAACTTGGGTGTGAAAGTATGTGCAAGAAATTGTATGACACCAGATGAAAATGTAATTCTGAAGAAACCAAGAACCTCTGCAAACTTACCCAGGAATATTTTTGGTTTGGGGCAAAATGTCAAGGATCTGTTGTGCTGTTTCTGAAGCCAAAACGAGCAGACCCTTCTAGCAGACATTGTCAGTTATGTCAAGTATGCCGTCTTTTAAACTTTGTTTTCTTGGTTTGAAGACACTCATTACCTGAAGAAGAGAAAACCCTGTCAGGTTTCCTTGGAGAGGAGAGTTTGACCACGCCTGTTACTACCATGTGCCAAA